GGAACCACACAAGACAAATAGCTAAAACTTTGCAAGGATATCCTCTGCACATGTTTGGGCTAAAGATTCCAAACTCAGCCCCTAGTGTTAGTGGTTCTCATGTACGAACGCATGAAAGATTTGGCAGAAAAATTGCTAACTCGATAACCTGAAAAGCTGGAAGGCTGAATTTTTAAAGGAATGTTCTTCGTCCACATGCAATTTAAAGATTTCAAGCTCAGCCCCGAGGTGCATGTGATATTGAAGTGCGGGTGCGCGAAATTTCTGGCAAGAAAGTTGCTGGCTAGGCAATCAGAAAAGCTGGAGGTTGAAATTTTAAGAAGATATCCTCCGCCTCAACACAATTTAAAGATTTCAAATTCAGCCTCCAGGCATACGTGGTTCTCGCGTTTTGCCGGAAGAATGCTCACTGAACAGCCAGGTATTCACTTTTATTCACTTTCATCTATAGCTATATGTGCTACCTAGCAAAATCACTTTGATAGCCACACGCGTGTTAACATATTTGGAAAACTCACTCGCTGTTGTAATCAGTGTAATAAGCACAGCAGACATTCAGTACGCCAAAAACTATTGCTGGAGCGATCATTAACATTAGATAGCGCGCTTTTCGAAATGCTTGATAACTGTAAGTAAATTATGTATAATATCTACCGTTACTAACTGCTGAGGAAAACACAAATGCGGTTATCATTCTTTCCGTGCATCGCACTTTTTTTTTTTGTTTGCAAAAACGAAGAAATCAAAAAAGTAAAATTTTTGAGTGATAGTCTAATTAATGATACATGGATGTGGTAAGTGGTCATTTGCGAAAACTGGAAAGCAGCTGTTGGTCATGACAGCGAGAGCGATGAATCGAAGGATGTTTTACGTGTCTTGGCTGTATGAACGGCCGAACTGTCTGTCAAATGAGTGACATGCAAAACATCACTGTGAAGCAACGAAAGTGGAAAATGTGATAAACAGGGTATGTTTCTCGCCTTACCGACAATCACGGATGTCACACGTTAGCAAGTGTTACTCGTAAAAAAGAAAACGACCACCTGAGTGGCTCGGGAAAGTGTGGCACGCACGCATCGAACAGTCTACAATCCAAGATCAGGAGGCTTACAGTAGTTGCGTCGACGGGTTCCAACTAAAGTTAAAGATCAAAGGGCTCAAAGTAGATGCGTCCGGCACGTGAAAGCCTGGTAATGTTTGGGCTCTCTTAGTATTTTTAGTGGCAAAAGCACTGAACAGTCCAGGAAAGAAAGCAAACATTTGATAGAAATAAATCGATCGATACCAATCATTAGCAACAAGAACATAGAAAAATTCATGAAGAAATTGGGAACGAATTGAATTATTAAACACGTCTTCAGCGGCGCATACGTGTTACCCGTAAAAGTATAATAGGCCAATGGAATGTGCGCCAGCTGACGAAATATATCGCCGAAAGCATTGAGTGCTATTAATATATTACATGGCCCATGCAAGTTCCTGAAAATTAAAAATTTCTTTTTTTCTTCCGTGGTCTAAATGCATACTATGCAAACTATCCAGGTTTGCTAGCGAAAAACCTCAAATTGGCAGTCCTGACGCAGTTATACTCCCAAATACTCCTGGTTTGTTGCTTCATCTCCTTTTCGCTGATTTCTGGAGCTTGTTGCAACCGACATGCCTCCTTCAGTATTCGTCTTTCATGAATCAAGATAATATATTTTCTTGTCTAGCAACATGCACTGTTCGCTTTCCAAATTGAAAGAGCGCATTACGCGAAAATCAGTGAGAATACGACAAGCTTCGATCATCAAGATTTCGATTATAAAACTTCGTGCGATTTTTCATCACTGATGAAATCAAAAACCCGTATTGTCGTGAGACTGCCTACTTGCGTGTATACCTACTGCATATTCCGATTTGCAGATTGACTAAAATGAACGAAAATTTTCTT